TTCGTTTATACAAGCCTTTATTAAAAAACATAAATGTCGCTTACTGAAACATTTTAATATGCGGTTAAAATCTGTTGCAAAGTCATAGAATTATTTTGTTTACAGCGTGTTTCCAATTTGGGTATAATAATGCCTTTGAACAACCGGCAGCAAGGTGCTGCCTCAGTGATATAGGCCTTAATAACTACTATAACAATGGTAGCCACGTCTAAAATGACACATGGGAGTAAACAAGAAGAGAGACTTTTAAAAGTAGTAGGGAGACTTTGTATGTGTGTATCGCTGGGCCTGCGCCACCTGGACGATGCCGCAGCCCTCGCGACCGCCTGCGTTGCCCGTCTTGAGGCTCTCGGCGTCCCCGCCGCGCCCCAGGTCGTCCTCGCCGGCATGGATGACGAAGGCGAGCCCGCCGATGTACACCGGAGAATTCCGGTCGAGAGATATGTGTTTGTCGAAGAGGGAGATGCGAGCCACGCCGTTGTAGTCGGCGATGATGTTGCCCAAGTCGCCGGCGTGGCGGTGGTAGTCCAGGGGGCTGCCGTGGTTTTTCTGCGGGAAAGGAAGTTTGGTCACGAACCGAGGCTTGCAGCAAACACGAAAAGGGAGTGAGGACGTGAGTTAGGCTTGGTGCGAACAGGTAATGAATATTATGATTCACGACTTTCCTTATGTATTTACATTGCTATATTATATATAAGAAAATTACGAGACTTGTTTCTCAGACACGGACAAGACATTAAGACAGTCTAATAAAGTGGTATTATTGTTTCTCCTCGAGTCATTGCCATGAATTGTCATCCGTAAAATATTTGGACATAAAACAATTAAAGCATAATTGTGAACATTGTAGCGAGAATTCAAGCTATGCGAGGCCGTTTCACTTTTTTTTTCTATATGATATTTGCCAACCAAGCCCTCGAGTTGTGTGCCACGGTATCCAGCGCGTAGACACGCCACTTAAGTGCCTGGTGAACCCCGGCTTTGATAAGGAATGACAACAAACGGCTGAGATATCTGCGTAATGTAAACAGACAAGAGCGGGAATAGTTGCGCCGTGCAGGTGAGTCAGCGCAGGGCAGGTTAAGAGCGTCTGCGGGGCGGAGGCGGCCGAAGAATGGAAGCCGCAGTGCCTATCAGTGCCAGGCGGAGGACGTGCGTGACAGCAGTGCCGGCTTGACTCATTGTGGCCACTACAAAAGCCCGTGAAATGGATTCTCTTCGCTGACATCTTTCTCCGCTGCCAAACTAAGACCGAGGAGCAAACTTTGGCTTATTACCAGTATTATCATTCCATATCATATAACTCAGAGGTTAATTTACATCGACGTACCTACTTTTTTATTAAAGCCTACATTACTATTCTTGACGATACAGTATATAATAGACGTAACATTGTTTTTAAAACACGAGCGCGAGACTAGTATAACAGAAAGGGCGAGTGTACCTTCCTTGCGACAGGATTAGTCTTTTCGTCCTTGTCTATTTTGGCTCATAAAGTGTCTCCTGATGCTGGCAGAGCCACATGTTGAGGCCGTGCTACTGCCTCTGTGCTTTTGCTGATATTTCTCTTATAAAACCATTGACTTTGTACGCATTTTCATCTCTTTTTAGTGATCAGCCGTTTGGTGAGGAAGTATTTTTACTTGTGATTGTATAACAGACACATACACATGCCAACGTACATATGTGTGTGCGTGTGCGTGAGTGTGCGTGCGTGTGTGTGTGTGTGTGTGTGTGTGTGTGTGTGTGTGTGTGTGTGTGTGTGTGTGTGTGTGTGTGTGTGTGTGTGTGTGTGTGTGTGTGTGCGTGTGTGTGTGTGTGTGTGTGTGTCGTGGGTATGGGTGTGGGTGTGGGTGTGGGTGTGGGTGTGGGTATGGGTGTGGGTGTAGGTGTGGGTGGGTGTGCGTGTGTGTATCTTTCTTTCTGTCTAGGCATACATATTTTTGCCTAAACCCAACCGACGAGAGCGGCCAAAGGGATCCGCGCGCCGCTTCCTCGTGAAAAGTGAAAGGCTCAAAGACCGAATCAAGCGTCAAATGTCACCAAAACAAATGCAAGTCACGGTGGAAATAGCAGGAAATTTATGTTGTTTTCTATCTTTTCCGAAGATGTCACGCATGCGTAAGATATAATCACAGTGAAAGGTTTTGAATAATTCATGTAAGATCACACACAATCAAATGTGTGCCGTAGACGTGGCCCCTAAACTGAACTGTGCCTGACTTCTATTTAGATATCCGAGAGGCTCATTCATACAATCTTCTTTCCCTTTTAAACATTTGTTTCAAATAAATATATATAAACCATTTTTCCTTTCCAGTATGAATAGCAAATAATTACGTTCCTGCCTTTTCTTTGCATGTAGATTAACTAATTTAGAAAAAAAGGTAGATGGTAGGAATGGCAGAGAGGGCGTGCAAAGAGAACCAGAACGACGGCAACGCAGAACTAGTCACGCCGAGTGAGGAAATGTCTTTCCGATGGACTTCGGTCGTTTCGTGTCCTTGCATTGTCAGGAGAGGCAACTCGGGCACGAACGGGGAATGTGAAGCATGAAATAAATACTCGATATTTGACTCATTCATTACCGTCACTTTTTTTAGAACTTATAAGTAAATATGAATTACAGGCTGCAATTACATGAAGTAAAGAACCACAGGGATCTTCTCATCTTATTTCAAGGTATCCATAAAAAAATTGGATCAGCTCCAATACATTTTTTTCCTGAGTGAATGGCTATCTCAGCCAAATTGTTGGAATATCTACATCTTTTAGAAGACTTATAACTCGAACATCCTCCGGCCGTACTTTGGTTTCAAAATATCTCTTTTGTTTAGTAAACAGCCTCGCCGCCCCCGTATATACTTCGGTACAACGGAGTAAGTCGCCCACGCATGGGATAATTACAGGGACGCGAAAAGCATCAGGAGAGCGGTAAGCTTATGTTCTCAACCCGCCCCACATTTTTCTCGACATGGGGAGTGAGGCGGTATTTTTGGCGGTTTCCACGTCACTCTATTCAGTGTCTGCCAACAAAGACGAATTTACGCGCGCTTTTAGAGGGATTTCCCTTGTTTAATGTATTTAGCCGAAGCGGAATGACAGGCAAGGAGATAACCCCCTCGTGCACCGGCAGTGGTCACGAAGCCGTGTGTGAATAAGAAAAAGCGCAGTTATTCTGCAACCAGATGACGCAAGGGATAAACAGGGTTAGTTATTGCTGCAAAATACACTTAGGAACCTCGAGGTTAGGTTTCAGAATAGAGGTGAGATACATTTTTCGAGAAATGCTCTCTACGTCAATTCATACGCGTATTGATTTACTCAGTTCTACGTAAGGTACCTGGCCTGATGTGATGATACCCTGAGTCAGGAATATGAGACGAATAAAGAAAAACTCCTCTACAATGAAATCATTAGGTGATCAAATATAAGGATACCCGTCCATTTGGCCGCACGACTAAGCCAAAAAGGAAAAAGCCATACTTGATGTAACAAAAGACAGTCCAACACAACTTAACAGAAGACTATTGCCAATAGCAATTCAACTAACCATAAGAGGGTTGAAATGTGTGCCTGCTGCAACGCACTTGTTGCCCAGGTCCCCCACCGCGTGCACGTGGAACCCGTGCAGCCCCGGCTTCAGACCGCCCACCGTACCTGGGGAAGGTCATGAGGGTCAGATGCGTGAGGCTGTGGAAACTCAGGCCGGGCTGAGGCAAGTGACTCTCAGCAATTGCCTGCTCAGTCCGGCAGGCAATCGACTCTCTGGAGCGGATTCTCTGCGTCACCCGGGAGATGAAGTTGTGGCTGGTGCATTCAGTATTTCGTAGTGGCAAGGGTAGACAGGTTTATGAAACGCCTATGAAGAATTCCTTCCATACACAAATGTAGGGTTTTAATATATAGATATAAGAAAAGAATATTCTTAAAAGAAATAAATGTATTTAAGGAGGGAGCTATTTCTACTGAGAATAAATTATTCTTGTTTTCATATCTATCATTCATTTCTTATTCATCTCTCTATTCATTTTGTTTGTTTGTTTATTTTTTCAGAGAACACAGGGCAAAGGGGTTAAGTGGGGAAAGGAACAGCGAGTCTTTGGGGGTGACATATTGACTAGGACCATAAGGGCAGAAGACCTACCGTCCACTGTAAAAAAAATACGCATTAAAAGAGAGTATTAAATGAGAAAAATGAACGTGAATCACTATGAATATCTTTATATATATATATATCACGTATACCTCGTTATTGAAATAGAGAAGATAGATCGATCATATAATTACGTACAATCAAAACACAACAGCTACCAACAAATCAAAACATTATTCCCTAAACTGACATAAAAATGGAGACATGCGTAAAACGAGAAAGTCATTTCACCAACATCCGGAGAGAAAACAGACCTTGGATGTCGACACCTCCATGGCGGCGGCGGTACAGGTAGAGCGCGCCTCTGATGTTAGGGTTCGAGCCTGGCACGATGTCCACCACCGCGTCGGGTCCTGTGGTTGCGACCTACGGAGAACGGGAGGGTGAGCAGCGGCTTGGAAAGGACCTCTTCGGTAGTTCACGCCGAGAAAGGAAGCCGCCGGAATGTAAAAAAAAATAGTACGACTTTCTGAATGACTGTGAAAATATGTCTTTAGGCTTCCTGCTTGAACTCGCTCGCAAACCGTGGGTTTGCGAGAGAGGGAGGGAGAGAGAGAGAGAGAGAGAGAGAGAGAGAGAGAGAGAGAGAGAGAGAGAGAGAGAGAGAGAGAGAGTGAGAGAGTGAGAGAGAGAGAGAGAGAGAGATGAGAGAGAGAGAGAGAATGAGAGAGAGAGAGAGAATGAGAGAGAGAGAGAGAAATGACAGACAGACAGAGAGACAGAGAGAGAGAAATGAGAGAGAGAGAGAGAGAGAGAGAGAGAGAGAGAGAGAGAGAGAGAGAGAGAGAGAGAGAGAGACAGACAGACAGACAGACAGACAGACAGAGAGAAATGAGAGAGAGAGAGAGAGAGAGAGAGAGAGAGAGAGAGAGAGAGAGAGAGAGAGAGAGACAGACAGACAGACAGACAGACAGACAGAGAGAGACACACAGAGAAATGAGAGAGAGAGAGACACAGAGAGAGAGAGAGAGAGAAAGAGAGAGAGAGAGAGAGAAATGAGAAGAGAGAGAGAGAGAGAGAGAGAGAGAGAGAGAGAGAGAGAGAGAGAGAGAGAGAGGGGGGGGGGGGAGAGACATGAGAGAGAGAGAAATGAGAGAAAGAGAGAGAGAGAGAGAGAGAGAGAGAGAGAGAGAGAGAGAGAGAGAGAGAGAGAGAGAGAGAGAGAGAGACAGAGAGAGAGAGAGAGAGAAATGAGAGAGAGAGAGAGACAGAGAGAGAGAGAGAGAGAGAGAGAGAGAGAGAGAGGAGAGAGAGAGAGAGGGAGCTGAGGAGGAGGGAGAGGGGAGAGAGAGACATGAGAGAGAGAGAAATGAGAGGAGAGAGAGAGAGGAGAGAGAGAGAGAGAGAGAGAGAGAGAGAGAGAGAGAGAGAGAGAGAGAGAGAGAGAGAGAGGGAAAGGAGAGAGAGACAAAGGAGAGAGAGACAGAGCGTGAGAGAGAGAGAGAGAGAGAACGTGAGAGAGAGAGAGAGAACGTGAGAGGAGAGAGAGAGAGAGAGAGAGAGAGAGAGAGAGAGAGAGAGAGAGAGAGAGAGAGAGGAGAGAGAGGGAGGAGAGAGAAGAGCGCTGTGAGCGAGAGAGAGAGAGAGAGAGAGAGAGCGTGAGAGAGAGAGAGAGAGCGTGAGAGAGAGAATGTCTTGAGTAAGAGAGAGCGCTCACTCTCTCTCGAGAGAGAGAGAATGATAGTGTCTG